AAAGTGATTCGAAAACCTCAGATCACTCATCAAGGTGTTTTGATTAGAGAAGTGCCAGTACCTGTTTCTCCGGTGTCTAAGAAACGAAGGGCTGAGGATATGGCAAAACAGTTATCAAAGAAGAAGAAGAAGAAGAAGACTCGAAAACTTGTAATTTCTACTGAGTCAACAGAAGATGATGAGGAACGAATTCCAGAAACCCCAGAGATAACTCCTGAGCAGACAATCATCATACCACCCGAAGATTCGGTTGCCAAATCAGTTTCTGAGGAGGTACGAACTTCAGGCATCCCTGCACACGTATCTGATACGGATGCAAATGTCAATATGGGTGATGGAGATGCGAAGAATGAAGATCAAGGTAAATCTACTTCTGCTCCATTTGAAAGCATTGTTTCGTTGTCACAATCCACAATTCCAACTACTTCAACCACTGATTCTCCTACATTCGAACACATTATCAATCAACCATTCACTTCAATTTTTTCTTCTTAATCCACTGATACACCCAAACCAACTTCGAATGTTCAAGAACCCATTTTTATGGAGACAGAAACTGATACAGAGGGGTTTGGAGGTACCTTTGAAGAATTGGAATTTCATGAAGAAGAAGAACAGTTTCCAGATCATATGCTGATGACCATGAAGCAGTTTAAAATTTTGAATCAGAAGTTGAATTCGATAATTCAATCTCAAGCTGATCTGGGGGGTGGTTCATCTGTTTCTCGTTTGGAGGTTGATTCACTGTTGAAAATGCTCGAAGCCAGAGTTGTGAGCAAAGTCTCTGGCATGATTACTGATTCTGAATCTCGAATTTTGGAGAAGGTTGATTATAATGATCAAAATAATGAACTTCGGATCAAATCTCAAACTTCAATGTTTACCAGTGATGTTAAAAATTTGAAGAATGTCACAAAGGAAAGGCATGTTCTTTTTGTGCAAGAAGTGAAGAAGGTCAGGGAGGATGTAAATTTGCAGATTCACGAACTTCGTGAAGACATGCAAAAAGAAGTTGCTACTGTTCAACAAGATTATGCATCCTTGAATCAAAAGGTTGATATAATTTGTGATGCAGTCACAAGATTTGTTAAATTGTATGAAAATTTGAGTCCGCAACTTACTCAACTTTCAACATCCGAAAGAACAAGCTTTGAGGAAGTGATAACTTTGCTCAAGGAGTTAAAAGAAATTTCTGATAGGCCGATTTCTTCTTCCTTGATCACTCCTGAATTTTTATCACAGAAGTTTATCCAATTCGAAGCCATTCTCAACAAACAACTTGCTCCACTCTTTCGCATATCAAGTCTTCTTCCAACAACGCATGCCCCGCCTGTTTTCACAGGGGTGCAAGGGGGGAGAAAGAAAAACTAGTGAGTCGAAGACTAGTGGTGAAGATGTGAAAGTTGTAGGAAAAGTATTTTCTTCGAAGATCCCAACAACAAAGCCAGTTATTGTGTCTGCTGGGATGGTTACTTCAACAGTTGTTACAACGCTACCTATTACAAGACCTTTTTCGAAAGGAATTGTAATTGGTAAATCTACAGAGACTGGTGAAAGTGGTTCGAAACCAAAAGAGGCAATTGACAATCCAGCCATGAAAGATAAATGGAAATCGATTGTAGTGGAAAAATCGAAAGAAGAAAAGAAGGCTGCAGCTGAAGCTGAAATTGAAAAACTCAGGTTGATTCGAAGCATTATGGCTCAGCGTGCTGGTGATCCGAAGGGAATGGACAAAGGTGATCCTGCCAAACACTACAATTATGAAACAATCGAGGCCAAGGTAGCGTATAATCACATGTATTCGTTTGAGAAGAAGCCAAAACAGAGTTATTTGGTTACGAATACTGATACAAGCCAGCTGGATTTTCCGATAAATGAAATGATGTTCATCATGCCTCAGTTCAAGGCTGAAGGAAATTTTAAAGAAAAAGATGAAGGTACACACATGAAAATTCATTTTCATGTTGTTCTTGCAAAAGCCCCTGAGGAAGTGTGGTCACTGGTTAAAATCAAGAAAGTGATCAGTATGAAAAAGGATGTGATATTCGAAAACACAGTCCAAAATTTCAAGATGTGGTTGCCAAGGCAAATGGAAATATTTGCGAATTCACTGTTGCAGATTTTCCATTAATGAACTTGTATGATCTTATACAAGTTGCATTACTTTTGAAAGACAAATCATTTTCATACCTTCAAAACACAGAACCCGATGAATTCAAGCTTGGAGTAGCTCACATCAAGATTTTTATCGAAAACTATTATGAGTGCTTGGCACTAACAGATGTTGAATTAGCTACTGCCAAAGGAATGAAAATTAAAGCTCTGATGGCTCCAACGAAGACTCAAGTGGAATTGAAAAAGTATGCTGATGGTGAAATCTGCTTGAAGCCTTTTGGAATGGTATTCGCAGGAAAAGACAAAGCTGGAAAAGCTAAACGGTTCTTATTCCAAGCAAGCGAAGTGGAGAGATATTCAACATCTCAATATACGAACTTGATTGTTCGTATGAATCATTGCAAGAAAAACAATAAAGGAGATAAGAAAGAGCTGAAGAAGATTATCTCCTGGTACACGGAGATTCAAAGAGTGTTACTGTATTCTATCACGCTTCTTACGAATTGAAGACTTCGACTATGATTACAAAGGGGGAGATTGTAAGGGTCGAATTGTTGTAATTAGTCGAAATGTATTTTGAACTCTTCGAATATTTTGTAATATATTTTACTAGGGCGCTTTCATTAGAAGCTTAAGTGTCTAGGCCTTAGTATATTTTTTGTACGCTTTCTGTTCCCTATAAATAGGGATCTTTTACTAGAGTTAGATAAGAGTTTTTACAGACCTGTCTATTTTCTCTGTAAACATTCGAAAGCGTAAATCAAGCTGAAACAAGATCATATTTACATCCGGTAGTTAATCTCGCATTCTTACTTGAATTCATACTCGGATTAATTCAATACTCGATTCATTGGTTCATCACCTAGAACTTCTCGGGTTTTTCAACATGACTTTTCATGATTGAAGTTTGATCCATGATTTTCAACAATTTTTGTCTTAGATTGTTAGAATAGATGTTACCAAATAGTATAAAACAATTTTTACTTATTACAAAAATCAAATAATGACGAAATCTATAAACATAAACAAAAAACTTACTAAACAAAATTTGTTGATAATGAAAAGACAGAGGCTTGCAGAAGCAATGCTCTAAGAAATAAATTGGTCTAACTTAATCTATGGTAGGCATTAAAGGTATTTAAGAGAGAGAGAGAGAGAGAGAGTGTGAGAGAGAGAGAGAGTTTTGGTGTGTATGTGGTGTACGTTCATCCAAGATATCCAAAAAATCATATTTGACTTCTTTGAACAAGATCGGAATGAAACTGTCAAAATGCAGTTTTAGATAACTTCTCAAAACCAACATTATCTTGTAAAACCAAAATTAATAAAACATAAACTAACTCATATAAACAAGGATACCCTCGTTGTTGGCACCGTTGGAATTCAACACAAAGAAACATCGGAGATCGTTACTTATCTCATTTCACTCCATCCTTAACTTGTCGGAAAACTTATCAAACTCAATTTCTGTCGGAGACATTGTCCAGACTTCGCCGGTTAGATAACCTCCCTAGTTTCACCCACATTATTTATCTTTGTCTTTCTAACTTTTTTTCTCTAGGGTGTGTGGAAACCGAAATCACGTTTTCAATAAATAACAATAATAACATATTTTGATTGGTTGGTATTTTTGTTTTTTTTGTTGTTTTTTTATTATCATTGTATTGGTTTTTTTGTCTTATTATCCGTTTAAATTATTTATGTGTTTCATTGAGATTATTAATGTATTACTTTTCTGTTCGTACTATTATTATGTTATTTTTTTCATTTAGATTATTCAAGTGTTATTTTTTCGTTTAGACTATCCTTATATTGTTTTTTCCGTTTGGACTATCCTCGAATTGTTTTTGTCGGTCGGATTATCCTCACGTTATTTTTTCATTCAGACCGTCCATTTGTTATTTTTATTACAGACTCTCTCTCTCTTATTTTTTTTCTTTCCAAATAGCTTGTGTTTTTATTCTAACTATCCATGTTATATTTTTTTTTTCATTTCGATTTATCCCTGTGATACTTTTTTCTGTTCGTACTATCCGTATGTTATTTTTTCATTCAGACTATTAGTGTATTATTTTTTCTATCGGACAATCAATGTATTATTATTTTTTTCATTCTGACTATCCTTGTGTTATTTTTATCGTTCAGATTATCTCTGTGTTATTTTTTCGTACAAACTATACATGTGTTTTTTTTTGTACGGACTATCATCATGTTAATTTTTCCTTCGAACTATCCCATATTATTCTTTTGTTGCGATATCTGTACCCCTAAATAAAACTCACATATTATTCTTTTGTTGCAATATCCGTACCCCTAAATAAAACTCACACACGCATATAATTGTTCGTAATTTATTTTAGAACAAATATATATATATATATATATATATATATATATATATATATATATATATATAATATTTTAATAGAAAAATATATAAATATATAAAAATGTTTTCTAAAACACAATATACACAAGTATACTTGTTCTTATTTTTTTTATTAAACAGTAAATAGAATATCATCTTTCGTAAAAAAATAAAGACACATTTATCTATAAAAATATGTTTTCTAAAATACAAAGAATTAAAAATAATAAGACATAATTAACGACGACGACGACGACAGAGACGGCAACACCAGCACCAACACCAACACCAGTAGTAATAGTAGTAGTTGTAATAATAATAATAATAATAATAATAATAATAATAATAATAACAACTAGATGAGGAACCCCGCTTTGCGGGGTATTGATTTGTTAACATAGAATATGCAAAGTAACTGTTTTTCCATCTCATGGTAATCTTGATGTGATACCAACTAAAAAAAATAACATATTTGATTCTAGTGTCAATCAAATAATGCATTCCAATTTCAACATTGATCTGGAGTTACATAACTTTCAAATTAAAAGCTAATTGAACTTGATAAGAGGCCCTGATAAAAACTCATTTGCTTCACTCTATATAAGTAAAAACATTTCTACCTTTAAGTTGTAGTACAATGAAATTGACTGAACTGCAACAATGTTTGTGCAACTCTATGTTGTCCAACTCTCTGGTGTGTTGAGGTGAAATCCCTGGTAGCAGAAATTAATTAGCTTAGTTATATATGAGTGTTTCTTTTTAATTAATACAGAAAGGCTAGACATTGTTGAATGGGTGTAAGAGTGGTCACCAAAACATGAACATGAACATCTTTTTCCTTAAATGTGGAAGAAAAAAAGTTGACATCACTGATAGAAGAAAGATAATAGACCTATAATAATAAAAATGACCAGACTACCCTTAATTAACTTTTTGCTATTTCTTCTCCAAACCATGGCTTTTAGGGAGCAGGCGACCTTCAACTTCCTTCCTATTGCAGTATTCCATAGCCAAGTACTAAAAGAGATTTTTTTTTTTTTTTTTTTTTAATTAATAAGGAAAAAAATTGTCACACTTTAGTTCAACTTGTAAAAACCTCCCAACTTTCCTACCAACTTGTTTTCTAGTAAATAACCAATTTATATTTTCAATATAGAAATACAAGACACCAATTATATAATTTCAATAATAAATAACCAGCTTACATTTTCTTCATAAGTAAAGGTTTCAGGTCTTTTACTGATAAAAAGGGACAACTGTTTGTTGTGTTTGTGGCCTTGCATTACCGTAACTAAAAATGATATTTGACAACAAAATCTGCTAAAATTTAAATAAATTAGCTAGATGCAACTTTTATCCGATTGACATTTCAACCCCTATTTTATCTATTCGTTTTCTTAAGAGAAGGTACAATAGCTACAAGTTTTTTGGAATTTAGTTTCATATTCCTTATGTTGATCACTAACATAACCAAAAATAGATTGGATTTACATGCTCTGTCATCAATTTTAAATTTTGAGTTACACAGTACATTGCTATCTAATGTCATCATTATTTCCACATTTAGATTTAGTAGAAACATAATGTAAAACAATTTGATCTAGTGTGATACCAAAGCGATAAGCAGTTTATAAACAAAATTTGTATGCAAAAATAGTTTTATGAAAATAAATGTAGTAATAGAAAAAAAACAAAGAAAAAATGATACAGTAAAGAAAAAAAACGAAAGGTAGATCGGTACCTCTTGCATTTACTATGTTATTTTTATCTTTCTCTCCCTTGATAACATAGTCAACTATTTCTTCTCAATCCTCAGCTTGTAAGCACCGAAAAACACATCAGATGCTGCATTTAAGTTTATAATATAAGTAATTAAAAAGTAGTAAAAACCAACAAAAATTTTCTACCTATTTACCATTAAATGTTGATGCACCTTCATGTTATAACTGTGCAAGATCCCTTTTTCACATTTTTATTGTATGATTTGCCCTTAGTTCTTTGTACCTAAATACCTCAAAGGAAATTTACTAACATCTCATTTGTTGGTTGTACACATGGTTTCAAGAAATAAATAGGGTAGATGAAATTATCAACAACACACAAAGAAGCTAATCAACTGTCGGTTGTTGGAATAGCAGCTACATGCAGAAACATGAAGTAAGCAAACAACATCAAATTAATATAAAGCCCTAAAAAGGATAAATGAAAAATCGCTACTGGTGAAGCGGGTGAAGGGAAAATGACAAGAACTACAAACATACCTCATTGATAATCGACATATGAAATGGTTAATCGAAGTTTGGCATACTGTAAATTCAATTTAGCTATTATCAACAAACGATGGGTCGATGTTGTATGGCTGAAACGTTCTTCCTATTTTTCTTCTCGAACTCAGTATCGGTGGTAGAGGGTACAGCACAACAATTTCCCATGTAAGAGAACCTAAAGGGTGTTCCGATATCTGATTAAATAAACAATGTTCCAAACAGGGCGTTATTCTTAAAAATTGAAAAGGACTTAGGGGCATATCCTGTTAACCTGTAGCTTTTGAAGAACAGACTTGTATCAATCGTTGATTCCAAAAACGAAAATAGATGAAGGAAAGTTGTAGTTGGACCGGTAGAGTGGGCGGCGGTAATCGAATCCAAAGAGAAGTCGGAGAAGGAAGCACACATTTGGTCGATGTTGAAGCTAAGCAGGCGTGGGGTGGGGCAATCGTCGGCCTCGTCTGCGACGGTGGGACGTCGAGCCTGGATGGTTGATGATCGGTTGGGTACGAAGGAGAGTCAATTTGAGCAACCGGTGGTGGAAGGTAGATTGATTTGGCGGATGAAACTGAAAAAAAAAAATTGATGCGTCTGAAAATGGAGTAAATGAGTAATAGATGAGCCGGTGGAGGATTAGAAGAAGGTAGAGGAGAGACAGTCGGTGGACAATGTTCTGTAACCTTTTTATTGGAGAGGAATGGCGGTGTGAGACACGTGTAGAACGCCACTCTCAAACCAAGAACAGAGGCAAAGGTTCGATTGCAAAGACAAAAGAAAAATAGATTGAAGTGAAAACACTAACATATAAGCTGATTGGGCGAAAAAACAGTGGGAACACATGTCCATAAAGAATTGACAAAATGACATAAAATGCCGCACACAAAAATCGGCAATCGGCAGCAAAGCTAGAAGAGAACACATACCCATAACACAAACGACCAAAACTGCCAAAAAAACGGCAATCGGCAGCAACAAAGCTAGAAGAGAACACATACCCATAACACAAAAGTGTAGAAATTGTCCCTATGGTTAACACAAAATTGTCCATATGGTTAACACAAAATTGTCACTTTGGTCCAAAAATGTTAAAACTATCACTACATGTTCAAAATTTTCATTTTGTTAGCAGTTTGGTCAAGATTGTTTTGAAGATTTTTACAATGACAATTTTACCCTTGATATTTTTTTTTCATTTTTTTAGTTACTTTAATGTTTTTCTTATTAAAAGAAAATTAACAAATAAAATTCAACCCTCAACCCACCCTTTCACTTTTAACTCTTTCTCTCTCTCTCTCTCTCTCTCTCTCTCTCTCTCTCTCTCTCTCTCTTCATTGGCTGTCGAAGCACCACCATTTTCACCGAAGTACCGTCTTCCAACCACCAAAACTACCTCGAGCACCAACGTCGGTGCCACCCATTTAGGAGCTTTCCTTTGTCTTCTTTATTTTCGTCATATATGTTCATCCGACCAATCTTCAACAATGACGGAGGGGGAGAGAGATATGGGGAAGAGAGTTAGAAACCCTTTTTAGACCATCACTGTGTGCAAACCCTTGCTCCAAATCTATAAATACCACCACCACCGGCCAAATTAGCATTTTCTTACAACAACGGGTGGTGCTAGATCTATTCCTCACCGACGATAAAGATTTTTCTACAAACCCTAGCAACTCGAAACCACTGCCGCTCCAATCTGCAACTCAAAGAAGAGAGGTCTGATTCCATCTTCCTCAGTAAAAGTTGTGATTACAAAACCTACAATGATTTTGAGACTTTTTACCAACATATAGTTTTTCTAACAGAAAGGGTCACATTCTAGTTATTTCACCATTTTGTGGGTTACAGCCCAAAAATATGATGTTTTGACCACACATTTTGAAACTAGACAAGATAACTACTATGTATTTATATAAATGATTATATAATTAGTCTTAACAAACAAACATGATAAACTATAATTGGTATAGTTTGGGAGTCACAAACACTACACTATCATTACGGAAGAAGCATATAATTATATAAAGGTATAATTATTTTTACACTATGTAACCATTATGGAAGAGTAATGCATTCATTTACAAGAAAAAGGGGTTTTTCAGTTCACGTAAACCGGTTGATACAATTTTGTGAGACATTTGGCTTCACCGTACCTACCAGAGCACACACTAAGTCCTGAATTATAACTAGAGTCTCTTGTAGGGACAACATGACACTTGTTTATAGATTTATACGGGATTGACAACCCCGCACCTCAACTGTTAGCTATTGAAGGACCCTGGAAATGGTTTGGTCTAGGCTTTCATTGTTTTGTGTTCAGAATGAGTCTGTTATAGTGTTTATGGGTTGTTTGTTGATTGTTGAACTTTTTGTGTGTTTACGACCGTAAACTGTGTTTACGGCCGTAAACACGTTTACGACCGTAAACTCTGTTTACGGTCGCAAACCCAGTTTATGGTCGTGTCTTGTATATATAGAGGAGGTGTTAGTCTTTTAGTGGTTGTTGATGCCATAGAGTCCTATCAAGTTGTACCAGACGATTTTCTCAATATAATCGTGTGCAAGCTTGATTTCTTTTCATCTTATTCTTATTCTGTGATTGATTGTTGCTTAACTACTGGTAAAGATCCATATTTGGACCTTACAATTGGTATCAGAGCTAAAACCGGTGTTAAAGCTTCTTTCAATCGATTTTTGGGCTATTTCAACCGATATCTTTGAAGTTCGAACCTGCTGTTAGTGTTTACGTAGTGAAGGGAATCGTTTCTACTGAAAAATCGTGTTCATAAGGGTTTTCTGGGAGTTTGCTGTCAACCGTAAACTCCATTTACGGTTGTTGAATCAAAAACATCAAGAATCGTAAACACTGAATCTTCATAAACCGTAAACCAAGTTTCGAGAACCGTAAACACATAAACCGGAAACTCACAAACCGTAAATTGTTCAACCGTAAACACAGTTTACGGTCGTAAGCTCAGAACCATAAACTCCGTTTACGGTCGAAATCATCTGGACCGTAAACTCGGTTTACGGTCGTAAACCCTTTCAACTGTAAACTCAAATTTTGAACTTAATTTGCTTAATTTGCTTAATCTCAAATGGATTCTCAAGGTCAAAATCATTTCCATGAACTTGACACTGTTATGGGCACCACCACACGAATTCCAAGATTGATGTCTGCGGATGGTTTCCCCGAATGGAAGTATAGAGTTGAAAAGTACATCAAAATGAAGGACTTTAAGGTATGGAGAAGCATTCTTAGAGGCCCTATTAGAATCACTACGACAGTTGCAGGCCAAGTGATTGACAAGGAGGTTGAAAACTACACTGATGACGAGTTTGAGAAAATAGAAGAGCAAGAAAGAGCTTTAGCCACTTTAACCATGGCATTATCTCCTGATATTGCTCAAGGTTTTCATGAGTACACTTCAGCTAAAGATCTATGGGAAGCCCTAATTGAAGTTTATGAGGGCAATGAGGATATGAAGGAGAGTCGCCAAGACATGTTGAGGCAAAAGTTCAACATGTTCAACTACATTCCAGGAGAGACTCTTGAGGCTCAATTGCAGAGGTTCACAACTCTCACAACGGATATGAACATATCTGGGATTTACTTGACCAAGTCAGAAATCAACAAAAAGCTTCTCAATGCTCTTCCCAGATCATGGGATATGAATGTTGCTGTGATCAAGAAGACTAAGGATCTAAACCGCCTCACTCTTGCTGAAACCATGGCAATCATCAAATCTTGTGATATTGATGACAAACAGAGAGAGATCAATCACGTGAGCTCATACTCTACTACAAATCTTGGGATCTCATCCAACAATGCTCTTTCCTCAATCATGTCCTCTTCAGGTCAAGGGTTTACTGCTAAACCACCTCAAATTCAGACCTTCGCTGCTGCATCACCTATTCCTCATCCTCAGAATCAACCATTTATCTCCCCACAAGTTGTTCCTTCCCCAAATGTACCTACTGTAGCCTCTTCCTCAAACCCTAAGGATACTGATGAAAATCTGGCTCTAGCTACTGGGCTTGTTAACTCTATAATGCTTTTGTAGCTGGAGAGCTTCCACCTCAGCTGTCATTTGCTGACCTGGACCAGATTCATCCTGAAGACGTAGGAGAGATGGACATCACGTGGCAGATTGCTATGGCTGTTTTCAGGGCCAAGCAGTTTGCTAAGAAGACTGGGAAGAGCAATTGGGGCATGAATGCTGACAAGAAGGTGGGATTCAACAAGAGCACGCTGAGATGTTTCAACTGCCACGAGTCGGGTCACTTTGCTCGTGAATGTCCTAAACCAGATCGCAGGGTCAACAACAACAGAATGATGGTAGCAGTGGGAAACAACCGTGCAGGTGCTGCAGCTAATGGTGAGACCGCTATGGTCGCTCAGTCTTTTGACTGGGAGGACCAGATTCAGGCTTTGAACATTTCAGGGCCAGAAAATGCTCACCTTGCTCAGATCGATGATGCCTCATTAAGGACTGATGAAGCTGATCCCGAGCCAGAAATGATGGAGCTGCAGTTTGCTTTCATGGCGTCTACTTCTTCTGAGCCCAAGAGAAGCGAGGTAACCCTACCATCATGTTCTTATGCATGTAAAGAATATGTTAAAGTTCTTCGTGATGAAGTCCACTTATTGCGTAGAGAAGTAGAGGACCTTAGATATGAGGGCTACCAACTTAGGAAAGGACAAAAGCCTCTTAAAGTCCAATTAGAAGCTAAGATAAACGATTTTAGAAGAATCCAGGCAGAGTACAGTGAGAAATGTGAACTGTACAATTATGTTAAAAGACAAAATGATGCGCTAACTGCCGAGCTTCATACATTAAAGGAAAGGTTTAATTCTGCAAACTTTGCTTTTCAAAAATTTTATGGATCAAGCGAGGTAGTTGCTACCATGATTGATCACTGCATGGATTTTAAACGAAATCAGTCTAAGGGTTTAGGATATGATAGCGTGCCTCCTCCATATAATCGTACCTATCAGTATCAACCCTTGTCCAAAGATGAGATTGCCAATGAATCTTTTATGGTTTATGGCAATCCATCTGGCTTCGTTTCAGGAGGATTTATAAATGTTGAAAGTACTGACGCTTCTTCTTCCTCTGCAGATCATCCTTTAGATCAGGCAAAGCATGGAGTTGGTGTTTCTGTTTCTTGTTCCTATTTCTGATGTTTCTATTCCTATTTGTGATTCTGATGTTAAGACTGATAGTATTTTGTGTGATGTTCCTATTTCTGATTCTGTTGAATTTAATTTCTTTGATATGTTTGATGAACTTTTTGGTAATTCTGATGCTGGCAATTCTCAAAAACCATCAATTCCACATGTCATACCTTCTGAGGCACCCTCACTTATATCACAATCTGTCTCTCATGTATGCTCCTCTGAGAAAAGTAAGAGTGTCCATCAAGAAAATAAATCTGATAAATGTAGCACAAGTTCAAATAATAAACAGACTTGTTTTAATTGTGGCGTTGGTGGTCACATAGCTAGGAATTGCCATAACAGGATCTTTGTGAACTATCTGTCACCAAAAGGAGAGAACGAATCTCGAGGAAGGTCTTTAATTAGAAAATCCTCAAGAAATTGTTCTTGAATTGATGATTGGAAAGATGACCGAAGTAGAAAAAGAGCTGTTTTTCAAAAGAATAAAAAGGTTTTTATCAACAAAACTCAAAAGAGCTTGCCAAAACCGAACAAGGCTCCGCCAAGATCGGTTTCGTCAAAAAGCAATTCTAGATCTTCAACCACTTCTGGTAGAACATCCAGAAGCTTTGTGCAAACTCCTAAGAAATCTATTTCAAAACCACAAGAGAATGTTGTAAAACCTAAACTTCAATGGAAGCCTAAATCACTTTCTAATCCACCCTCTGAAG